CCGCCACAAAGTCGACACCGGCGGGCCCCTTGGCTGCCGCGCCGCGGCCGCCCGGCGCCGCCGGCGCCGCGCCTGTGCCGTCGAGGGCGTCGCAGAGCGCCGTGTACAGGTCCCGCGCTTTGCCGCCCACCACCAGGCGCACATATGACAGGTAGCGCGCCAGGCCGACCTGGAGTCAAGGTGTGCACATTCGTTGGCGTCGAAGCCCGTCTCTCAGCAGAGGGAGTGGATGTGTGTTTGCAGTGTCCGACATGCAGCGCTGTATGCAAAGGCATGTTGAGATTGTGCACGAACAATGTGCTGAGGGGAGGCCAGATCGAGCAGAGATGCGGCCAAGCAAGTCCCCTGCCCTCTCAGCCCCGACCCCAGGTTGCGTCGCCCGTGGCGGCGCGCCTGCGGGGTGCCCAGCGGCTTGTGCAACTTGACGAAGCGCATCACGGCGCCGTGGTCTCGCGCCGCCACCGCCTCCTCGAGCCGCGCCGCCACGACACCCTCCAGCTGGGACTTGGCGCCCAGCAGCAGCTTTGGGGGGCAGCAGGAGGCGTGTGAGCGCAGGAAAGCGTTGATGCCAGAATAAGAGAGGGCGCTCAGGCCAACCCCGGCGCGTGGACGATGGCGGCTGCTAGAAGCAGCAGCAGGGAAGGGCCCCGTGCGCTGCATGAGCCGGGCCTAGTGTTTGGCACACAAAGGGTCCGCAGGCCCAGGGAGCCGCCACGCCCCGCGCCGCTGCACCACACCCCAAGGAACGCCCGGATTCGCCACCTCTGCCTTCGTCCAACCAGCACCTGCCTTGTCCCCACCGTGCCGCTGCTTTAAGGGCCGCACCATCCGCCTCACAGCGCCAAGCCGCACCCACTGAGAGACGCTCCCCTCTTTGACAGGCAAGCAGCCCTCAGCTCCCCCTGCCACATATTACGAAAAAGCCCCAAAAAGCCCCACACTCCACCAGCGCCCCCTCCACACCTGGCGCTGCTCCTCAACCTGCCCAGTGTCGTCCGAAAGCGCCCCCGCGGCCCCCGCCAGCCGCCGCTCAAGCTCCAGGAACGTGGCGATGAACCCGGCCGCCGCCTCAAAGTCGCCCGCCTGCAGAGTGGCCGTGGCGCGATATTATCGCTGTTTTCTTGTGCTGAATTATGAGTGGTGGCCTGCCCAGCGTCCAAGCCACCCCTGAGGCCCCACAGCCGCTGCATGCGCCCACATGAGCCCTTCTGCTGCGCCGTCTGGAAGGGCCGGCACGCTCACCGCACGCGCTGCTGCGGCGTGCCAGTTTGAACCCTGAGCAGGGCAATAGCCCCAGTTTCCCAGCCCCACCCAGCTCCACACATTGGCCCCTCCACCCTTATGGCCCCCAACCCCCACCCCACACACGCCCACGCACAACACCACGAACTGCATCTCCACATTTGTGTCCCACGCGCCTGCATTGCGCCCTGCACGCCGCTGACGCAGCTGGTGCGGTCGAGGATGAGGTCAACCAGCGCCAGCGCCTCGCGCACGCGCGTCTGCACGGCGTCCAGCCGCCGCACGCGGCCGCCGATGCGGTCCGCTAGCTGTGCGGTGGCCTGGACGCTGCCGAGCAGCTGCTCGGAGTCGGCGCGGACGAGCTCGAGCGTCTGGTTGCGGCGCGGGGGG